TGGACAGCATGAGTGAGCTGAGTCTCTATACCTGCCTGTGGGGTGGTGCACTTGGAATGGGAACGAAGATATAGTTGGTTTCTGCTGCATCTATGACACGGGGCCGTATGCAGCGGGCCTAATTTTCTAGCCCTCATCTGGGGCACCTTTTATAATTCCTTGTCTGCTTTAAAGTTGCAAAAATTCCCATCAGAGTATTCAACAGAGTATTTGGCGAGCTTACGTATACTTTCGATAGATTCTCTTCAGGCCAACGCATTTATATTGGAAGGGGGGCATGTTAAAGCGTGGTCGCCTGTTCCCACGACTCACTTGTACGAACACGTTTTAACATCACCCCCTTCCAATATAAATGCGTTGGCCTGAAGAGAATTTATCGAAAGTATACGTACGCTCGCCAAATACTCTTCTGAATTCCTTATCTGCCGTGGGGTAAACAGTGCTATCCACAAGTAGGGCTGTATAATGATCCTGGACGACTGCCTAATTCCACTTTTTGAGACGACCCTGGGCCACTTGCAGGATCATTGCGTCCATTTCATTGAATTTTCTTCCCGTTTCGGGATAGAGTGAGACAGGAGACAGAACCGCCGGACGATGAAAATACACTAAACATACGCCCACATGTCGGATAGCCTCGTTTAGGTTTTTACCAGTATGGCCACTAGACAGAGACTAGCTCCAGACAGCTACAGCTGCGAATAGTTGAGAAGCAGTTACCACCTACACGAGGCACATGGTGAGAACAATAATTCCTATACAGTATATTCCTTAACTGGATACGCAGGCACTCCACGTTTTCACTAAAAACTAACTCACCCTATTAACAAAAGTTGGAAATATTCGAATGCAGCAACGCTTCTACCTTCTAACAACTCTGCACAGCAGCCATCGCAGCACACAAATCTAAAGCGTTTACAGGAAATAATAGCAGAAGTTGCCCATTCACAGAAACTGGTGCGTAAGAAGATGAAGATTTGGAATACTTAAAGTCGGCCTAAAAAATGAACTCCCGTCCATCATTAGGATTTTAAGACACGCTTTCAACTGGAAAAAACAATAAAACCGTTCACGCAAACAGGCCAGGTAGTTGACGAAACGACAACCGCGAGAGGACCGTGAACAAAACCCTAACAGATATCCAACGGCCATCGTGTCCCCCCCCTCCCACATCACCTCCGACGAGTCACCGTGTATCACGCCAGATTGGAAAACAAGAGGTGATTGAAGCAAAAGGCACGTATTGTAGATAAAAAGAGCAAATTCCTAAGACCACACGATGTCTCAAATAAAGTAGAGGAACGAAAAGAGAGAGAAGGATGAAGGGGAGCCGTCTGGAAAAAAAAACTGTACCAAAAGCCGGTTCTTCCTCATGATTTTCACAGCCGTGCAAGTGAGCGTTGGCACTAGACGGAAGAGGTCAGTGTGCTGGTAGAGGAGGCGGACGGCTCCTCCTTTACCGAGTCCGTCGAGGTACCGGAGTTGTTTTGGACTGCTGGCGGGGGTAACATGTTGTAGAGTACGGTGGAACCGATAACAAATATGTTGCCCGCCACAAGGAACCAGGTGACACTGTGGTGCAGAAAAACCACTGACAGTAGGAGGGTCATAATAATAGCCACCGAGGTGGAGAAGTTCTTTAAGATGTTGTCAGCGTAGCAGACCACCGCGGCTACCAACAGGCCACCCAAAGATTGGATAAAAATAACCAACCAGACGAGACCGTCATAGCCAAAGAAGAAGCCACGTTCTGTGACTAGAACTTTGTCCTGAATGAAAACAGAAATGAGGCTGGTGGCGATGCCATAGACAGAGAGCTGGATGTTGCGTACAATAATAGTCTTTTTGGTGGACTTCAGAACGAGTTCAAAGAAGACACCCGCAAAACCCGACAGGGTGCAAGCCACAACTATACAAGCC